AGATAGACGTGTTGTTGTTGTAAGTACAAAATTCGTTAAAATATCATAGATGTCCTATTAGTATGATGGTCAAAAGTGAAGAATTTGTGGTCAGTAATATTACTACTGTCGTGCCCTTTGCGTAAAAAGCAGAGTCAGAGCTATAAGTTAGACCCCGGCTGAGCCTCTCCACACTGATAGCTAATTCTATTCCCATTGTAACTGTCCCAGCCTGAGCGATTCCAAAGCCTTACCGTAACTTCTCGAATATTCCAGTGCATCAGTTGATTGTAACCCAATTTCAGATCTTCTAATGCATGCCAAAAAGGAGCAGCAGAAACTAGCCAAACAACTGTCGCAACCAGCTATGGCAGTGAGTGTTTACTAATTGTATTTTAGGGCCTAATGACTTCTGACTTTTGATAAATCCAATATGGTTACTGTAATTCTTGTGCTTTGGGTGTTTACATGATATATTTTTCGCGAAATCTTTTTTTACGAAGTCCGCTTCGTTCTGCTGGTAGCACTTTCATTGAGTAACTGGCGCTATTCGGCTTGCAGGAGGCATTTTGCGCGCTGCGAAATAGTATAAGTGAACTACGAGAGTTTACTAGTCGTCAAAAAGCCTCATACAAGCCGAACTACGACGAATCACTTGTTTCAACGCTACTACTCACCTTAATTGGAACGTATTGTGCATCTGACAGACGGGATGCTGGCGCACGAGAAGCAGGCAACGGAGGCGGACCACGTACGGATTTTGGTGAAGACAAATACTGGAAAGGTGCTTCTTTATAATCTAGTTAATTTTGGTGGGCTCAAACCTAGACTAGCCCCCTTCTAAGTTTTGATTGTTACTTCTAATGGGACTTTCCTGGCTAGATTGAAAGTGCTACAGCAGAACGAGCGGACTTCGTAAAAAAAGATATTCGCGAAAAATATGTCATGTAAACACCCAAAGCACAAGAATTACAGTAACCATATTGGATTTATTAAAAGTCAGAAGTCATTAGGCCCTAAAATACAATTAGTAAACACTCACTGCCATAGCTGGTTGCGACAGTTGTTTGGCTAGTTTCTGCTGCTCCTTTTTGGCATGCATTAGAAGATCTGAAATTGGGTTACAATCAACTGATGCACTGGAATATTCGAGAAGTTACGGTAAGCTTTGGAATCGCTCAGGCTGGGACAGTTACAATGGGAATAGAATTAGCTTATCGTGTGGAGGCTCAGCCGGGGTCTAACTTATAGCTCTGACTCTGCTTTTTACGCAAAGGGCACGACAGTAGTAATATTACTGACCACAAATTCTTCACTTTTGACCATCATACTAATAGGACATCTATGATATTTTAACGAATTTTGTACTTACAACAACACACACGTCTATCTTCAGTCGATCTTACACAAAACCCGACAACAAGCTCTCGCAGTAATGGAGCTGTCTGTGAAGTCAGCTCGTCAACGGTATCCTATCGAGATAGTGATATACCTTCCCGTACCAGGCCTAAGCTTAGATGGCGCAGACGACCAGAGTGGGCGTGTTGTCTCAGTGCCTCTAATTCATGTAGGCACCGTTCTTCTTTTCGCTTACAGAATCGAGGAGTGAAATTTTCCATCCTTTCTTACCCAATGAAGTAATGCAAAAATTACAAAGGCAAACGATACTATAGAAACGAGTCGAGAACACCTCTCATTGAATCTTAAATAAGTGATTATTTTCCGGACTATCTTACGCCTTTTTTTCCGCTACATACGGTGGAAATAAGGTGTCAGCTGGGAGATTCACGGTGAAAGCAACAGGAGCGGCATTACATCCCTGCTTTATCTTTTGATTTTTCACAAACGTGTCTCACCTTGCAAACCCTGTTGATTCCTGTTAGGTATCCTGTAAACTCCTGTCAAGCTTGACGATACGGTTCTGGCGCCATCGGAACGCCAATTTTTCATTTTTTTTTAAATCTTGACCAGTCATTTTGACGAGTTTGACAGGGCAACAGAGTGGCATACAGTATTCACGACTTGGGCTATGCTAAAAAAAAACAAGCAAGCGCTTACAGGGTGTGCCCCTTCCCAAGGTTATTGACGCCCGCATTTGCAGCAACTAACCAGCATGGAAGTACCAAAGTATTTCGACTCAACCAGCCAAATGTTGCGCGCCCAGGGCACATAACACGATTGGGGATTTCGCGTATAGAACCCTCTACGACCCCCCCCCCCACATTATTCCTCATCGAGCTGTCAAGCGGTGCTTGGGCGCGGGGTCGGCGGTGGGGGCGTGGCGTATAGTTCATATGAAAACAGGGAAAAACTACGATTAGTCAAGAACCTCTCTCAGAACTCTTAGAAGACCAGAGGGCAAACATGACTCTCTCTCTCTCTCTCTCTCTCTCTCTCTCTCCAAACAAGGAGCAAATGCGATCCCTCCCCCTTTATAGCGTCTCTGAAAGCGCCTGACAAGAAAAATCAAATGCCAAAAAAAAATTTTTCAGCCAAATACTATACTTCCCAACGACCAAATACGACCCTCCTAATAGGCAATCTCCAAAAGATGATATGTTCTGTGCGCGCCGCCATGCGAGGATACTTCAAGCAATATCAGTCTAAACCACCCATCTAACTTCAAGCGAAATTGTATGCTCTTCTCATACCGAACCCGAATGGGAAACGAAAAATCTATCTATTGCCAGAACCGCGTCACCTGGCTGTGCGAACCCAGCTACACAAATGCACAAAGCCAGATTGCGCTTCCTATTTTCAATCAAGGGCAGGTAAGCATACCGCCATGCTACAAACTCACTATATAGTGCAAGCAGAATTATCTGTGAACAAACCTTTAACTTTGTCTTCAACAGAATTTTCAGCAACCCTCGAATGTTGGACAGCCAAACGTATCCTTTCCGCGGCCTCCGGAGTAACTGCATGCTGGAATTACAGTAACGTCATATAGAAAGATCTCATACAAACCATTCCTGTGAAGTTTGAAATATTTCTGTTTCACATGAAACGCGAACGGTTTCTGTCCTATAGATGCATTTTTCAACAACCCGAGAGAAGAATCCCTGCAATATACATGGGTGGGCAGGTCCACAATCATAGAGGTAAGCCACTTTCACCACTTGAAAGTGCGTGGTAAGGCGGTTATAGGCTTGCTGTTCCTTAGTATTTCTGCTTGCCCACCCATCATTCGGACGCCATCTAGCCGCCTCAGACGCACAACTCGTCGGCGCCCTTGCACCAGTAGTGTTCGGTAGGCTTAATTAGTGCAACAAACCCTTTTTTGAAGTGACACCAGATGTATGATTCGAAATCACCTCGAAGGAGGCTTCACCGTCCTCAATAAAGCTCACCGAACACTCCGAGAGAGAGCGAGACGATCAGCAGAAAGGACCTGACAGCATGGCTTTCGAACAGCAGACGGAAAGCCAGCAAGGAGCCTTATCACGCACTTTCAATAAGCAAAAGTGGTACACCTTTGAAGCTAGTGATTTCGCTCCAACACTACTTTCACAAAAAACATCATCCTACCGATGATCCAATATGTGATGCCAATGACAATACTGCATCAGAATTCCCTACAGGGCTTCCACCAGATGTGCTTCTCTTCGATGGCGGTGTAGCCGTGCCACTCTTCGACGAAGGTGGACGTTCTGAAAAGTTAAACCTTCGCGGCTGAAATAGCAACGAAATCAAATTTCATGTACAGAAGTTGCCCAAGGAAACCGCACTTTTGGGCGAAGAAGTAATAAAACCAGATTATAAACCACATTAAAATGCTCATTGGCGCGGTTCAACATGGTGGGGGCATTTTGCTGGTACCTAACGGTCACTGCCATTGTCTCCTGTGGAGACCTGTAAACTCCTGCAGGATTATGCCGTGGTACGAGCTTCGCTCACACTTGAAGGTATGTTCATACTTCGCGAGCGTTCGACTGGACCGCGCGACCGGATTGCTCGACTAGACATCTAGTCGAGCGATCCTGACCGAGGCGCTCCACTGCCAAACGAGGCACCGCGCAACGGCAGAATCCAAACTGGGCCGCGTTCACGCAGTGCCTATTTAAATTGTGCATTAGTGGCGGTGCACCGTTTGGCAGTGGAACGCACCCCCCCCCCCTCCTTAGGATCGCTTGATCCAATCGCGCGATCGCGAAGTTTGAACGCGCTCTAACAGAAACAAGCAAACGAAGCAAGCGAAAGTGCCAAATGCACCCCTTCTCCTCCTAAGCCGAAAAGCGCGTCCTCAACTTAACAAAAAAGAAATTAACTAAGAGAAACCGAGTAGAAATCCTACTTTGAAAGACGATTAGCAACCAAAGGAGAAGGATTTCGTTTATTTTGTTCATGTTTCACATAACAAACTTAATTTGTTTGGACATTTCCTTACAGTATTGTTCGCTGCAGAGCTGCGGCGTGGCAAGGAGGGGGCAGATCCGGCTCAACGCTAACCCGTTGTTGCAGCGAGCGGACGCAGTCGGTGGAAAA